GTTCTCCATCCCAGCGCTCCCCAGCCCGTGCCGTGAGCAGGCATGTCCTTCTGTGCTGTGCACAAGCTCTCCCCAGCTTCTGGAGACCTTGGCTTCCTGCAGTCCTGGCTCTGCCCTGGATTCAGTCCGTCCCTCCCGAAGGATGGTGGCCAGCGCAGGAGGTGCTGTTTGAGACACCCATTACTCTAGATTTGTTCACCTTATGGGACGTACTGCTCTTAGCCTGGCTGACCTGTGTAGGTCTGTCCCCTCTCCAGTGTCCTCCAGCAGCGGGTCCCCGATCTGTCTTGCTGCTACCCTGAGCGCAAGAGGTACCTGCCACGCTGGATGGGGAGGAAGTGGTATCCCCAGGGCTGTTTATAGAAGTGACAGTGTCATCTGCAGTCTGCTGACGGCGCTTTCTGCGGCACTTTACCAAAACAGAAATGGAAACTGAGCTGCTCTTGGGGAGGCATCTGGCTTGTGCGCAGGGCCTGTGCCAGGGCAGGACGAGAGCCACATGGTGTGAGGAGCAGGCAGCTGCACCCACAGGTCCTCGAGCAGTAATAGGTTGCCTGTGCTTGTGTTTGGCAGCATTGACCCACAAAAGGAGGTCGCTTTTGCAGCAACCCCAGAGACTGCTGCTGCATGTGAGAGAGCGCCAGTGAGGCAGAAAATCTCACCTGGATTCAGGGACTGAGGTTCAGGAAGGGTGTGGGCATCTGCTGGTGGGAACCTGTGCATGAGCGTGTGTTCAGGCCCGAGGAACTCAGCCTTGGTGCAAGACTTCTCTTTAAAGTACTTTATACCATTAACAAAGTAATGCTGGTAAGGCAAATGCTTTGCTTACTATAGGTAGCCAAGCTGCTGCTGCTTCTGGCCTTTCTCCTGTGGAAAGCCATGTTCCTCCGACTTGTATTTCTCGCCTCTGGATCGCTTCCCTTCTGCCTGACTAATGCTGGCTTGCCCAAGATGCCCATTATAGTTGCCCCTGCTCAACTGTCACTCGTCTTCTCACCCTACTCTGTCCTCAGTGCTAACTGCATATTATTTCCTAGACTGTCTGGTGCCAGTTGTTGACCCTGCTGGAATTGCTCAGGTAAGGCAGCAGGTCTCTAGCAGGACCTGCAGCTCTGGCCCTGGGGCATCTCAAGTGTCCATCCCGCTCCAATTTCACAGCTTGTTCTGGGCTGCTGGGCCGCGCAGCCTCCCCCCGCCCAGGCGCTCTGCAGCTGCTGAGCACGGCTTGCCCCTGGGCTGGTGCTCGCTGAGCTGTGGCCCTCGCTGCAGGGAGCAGAAG